AAATTTTTTTTAATTAAAAAAGTTGAAGATAAAGTTCGACATAACGCATGAGCAACGTGTATATAACGCATATTCAACCACAACGTCAATTCGACAGCATTTCCCAAAACAAAAACAACGCTGATCTGATAAGCATATTTCTTATTAACTGTTCTTTCATTGGAGTCTTTTCCATTACAAAGTAGGCATATTTTAATTATTATTTTCTTCGAACACGTCTAGAATATACTTACATGCATACATACATATGTATATTGAATGAATGCATATATTTTCATAGGTGTACTTTTTACTGATGTAAAAGTTCCAAAAACAATAGTAGAACCTGAAGAACACAACAGATAAATGAATTTGCGGTTTCAGTATAAATTAAAGGTTAACTAAAGGGTTAATAAAAACGAATTTTTAAAAGAAACACAAAAAAGTTTTGATGAAACAATAATAATAATATGATGAATTATAATGAATTAATTTTTTTCATTTAGCAGATGCTCAAGCCACAAGTCTATTACACTTTGTATTAGATAAAAGCAAAGGAAAAGTTGTTCTTGTTTTTGTGCCCACCACATTATTTTCATGTGAAGAAATATTATTTGCAACGGGTTTTAATTTAATATTTATTAATTTTTTTTTATTTTTTATATTTATTATTTTTTTTATTACATACATACAGCAGCGAGCAGTGAAATAGTAGTGGGTGTTAGAGTTTACCTGTGAGTTATGCAAAATTCTAAACAATTTTAACATCAATTGAAATGGAAAAGTTTATCATATTTCCCTGGCTACGTTTATTAATAAAAATATTTAAATTTGCATGGGTGTAAGATATATTTATTCACAAAGTTGTGTTTTATATTAAATTTGATGGGAGCAGTAAAATAGTAGTAAAGTAATAAATTTTTTTTTTTTAACTGAAGGATTTTTAGAAGTTCCCTCTATACGAGATATTAGTACTTGGTAGCATGGCCATCATTTTTAATAACAGCAATACAACGTCTCTTCATAGAATCTACGAGATTCTGGCATCTTTTTAGTGGTATGTTCTGCCATGCTTGCTGCGAACGTTCCACAACCCATTGTTGTTTTTGGGTTTGTCATTCCATACGGCTTTCTTAACGTCTGCCCAAAGGTTTTCAATGGGATTGAGGTCAGGGGATTGAGCTGGCCAATCCATGACCTCAATTCCATTGACCCGAAACCACTCCTTTGCCACCCTACGGTATGCTTTGGGTCATTATTCCGCTGAAATATCCTTTTCAGCGGGATGTCCTCTTCAGCAAATGGTATCATAATATACYGCATTATATCCACGACTTTATGTCGGTCTCTTATGGTAGTAATCTTGTGAATTGGGACTGCACAAAAAAATTGGGCATGTAAGAAAAACACACCAAACCAWGAAATTCAAACCGCYAAGCTTCATAGTTTTTGTGCTGAATCTGGGGTCGTACTCTCTATTAGGGGAGCGTCTTAGATACTGACGGGACCCTTTACCGCCGTATAGAATAACTTTCGACACGTCTGTCTACAAGATGTTGCGCCATTTCTCAATCGGCAAATTCTCAATCGGTTATTTGGCAAATTTAAGACAACTTGCTATATGATTTTTTTTAATACTTACTTATCGAGGACTGCGGACATATAAATTATATTCATGTAGAAGTCTTCTCACTGCATGAACACCATAGGGCAAGTTCAGTTCGTTTCGAACCTCCACAGCCGACATTGTAGAGCGAGTCTTAACACACCTTACAACTTTACGTAAAGAATTCTCAGAAAGAATCCATATTGCGCCCCTTTTTTCGTCTTTTTTTTATATTATATACTATATATTAATTTTTCTAAAATTTCTAAAATTAAAAATATTTTTAAGTTTATCAAATTATTTTAAATCGATTATTTTTAGAAAATTTATGCAAAAGACATAAATAATTCCGTCTCTTTTTTATTCAACGAATAGCTATTACAAGTAAATATTGCGAAAATGTCAGATTTAAGTTACAATTTTTGTATGTAAACATAAATGTGGCAGGATAAAAACCATTTATTACATAAATATACAATCACACGAGTGTCCATTACAAGTGTAATAAAAAGAAATGTTATTCTAAAATAATTCCAAAAGCTTTACCCAAGTCCAATATAAAGTCAAAAACAATTGAAATCAATAAAATAGCTTCTTATTCACACTCAAACAAAAAAATAAAAATATTAATGAAAAATGTATATGAAAGAATCGTAAAAATAAATATTATTTCATTTAATCTAAATATGTAATAAAACTATAAATTAAACAGCAAACTTTATTGGGAAACCTAAATTTTGGGTTTAATTGGTAAAAAAAAATATTTTCCACACTTTTATATATTTTTTTAAATTTTAATGTTAAATAGTTTTATAAAATTATAAATTATTTCAATTGCGCATTAATTTTGCAAATCAAGGCAAATTTGAACAAAGTAAACGAATGAATTTAATTAAGGTTAAATAAAAAGTTTTAACAAAGGTTTATGGCTTCTTTAAGAAATTAGTGTCTTATTTAAAATTACCACAAAATATACAAGAATTATGTAATATTTCATACTCGTATTAGTTAAATAAGTTCATCCGAGCCAAACCGTAAAATCAAACCAATATTTTATAAGTACATACATATTTCACTTTGAATTAATGCAAAGTATTTATGAATCGAATCAACATTATTTGAAATTTAATATAAAAAAAGTATAATTAGGAAACCATTTTAGAGAAGTAAATGTAATTTTAATAAGAATTTTAATGCAACAATTCAGAAAGGAGTAAACAAATTTTGTCATTAATGAAATGTCAATTAAATATACGATTATTTCAGAATGTCTAGATGTTAATTTATTATAACGATATTTGCTTACAAATACAAACATTTGTATAAGTTTTAGTGGACTGTCATGGAAAAATAACTAGATAAAAATGTCATTAAATAAATGGGAACATAGTAAATACAAATACACTGTTTATTTTATTACTGGTGCCGCTCGAAAATCACACAATGATTGCCTTGATCATAGTAGCTTTGCACTAACTCTACATCTGGCACTTGCGCTAACATTGCCTCCAGCTCGCCTGACTCGAATACATGGTAGTAACGCAAGTAGGTACTTAAAGGCGCAGAGTTATTAACATCTTTCTTCGCAACTAAAGCGCCCTTTAATTTCCACGGCACCAGCACATCCTGCTGCATGAAATCGGTGCGATTTGTGTGTACAGGCAGTTGCGGTGCACCGGGTATTAAAGGCTCAAATGGTTCTGTCTGCTGCTGTTGCACCTCCTCTGCTGCACATTGTCGCTGTTGCTCAACGGTTGTCCTTTTTTTGTTTAAGGCTTTGTTTTGCAGTAAGTATGCCGATTTCTTATTATCATTAGCTCGTTGGTCCTTCGCCCAAACATAGATAAGCGCACGTCCACCTAGACGCAGCAGCCGTGCCATTTCCCGTATAGCAGCCAAACGCCGCTCTGCGGTTGCTAAATGATGAATAACCGCAATGCTAATGCAACCATCTACGGTTTGACTGCGGACTGGTACGTGTAAACAATCGCATCGAAAAGCATTTGGCAAATTTGAGCTGTGTTCGCGTATGATTTTTGCACGCTCTATGCACGCGTTAATAAGTCCACTACTACGATCGCAACCGATTGTTAAAGCATTATTATTACATTGAAGATATTTTCCATTGCCACAACCAATATCGAGCAACACTGATCCAGTTCGAAAGCTACGCAGAAATTCAGCAACGCGTGGCCAAGGTGTGTGACGAGTTTCACTGAAGTGCGGCGCAATACAATCATAAACGCTGTGCACGTTCTTTTCCTCTAATTGTGCAGCTACCACATCGGTTATGACAGGTGCTAAATTGCTTTGTGCATTTATGCGCGAATCACAAAGGGTCGGAAATGTGCAGTTGCACGGACCTCGTCGCAAACGACGGAAAGTTAATGAAATGCGTTTTTGGCGCGGCATCACTGTCAAACCAGTCTCCGAGGGCACAATATCAAGTGTACGCGGTGTAATACCGTGTGTCCAGTCATAACGCGATGCGCCCGACATTACCAGCATTGAACGACGTAACAATTTGAGTGGCTGTCGATCAGAGCCACGACGGAAGTCCATAACTACATCACCAAACAGTGATAATGAAAAAATTGGGTCGAGGAAGGCGCTATGCGTATCTACATGCGGGGGTATACCCTGGCCGGGTTCATAGATGTTAACCGTCAATTGATCCGGTACATCCCAATCCCATGCTGGTAGACCCAGCTTAGTCAATTCAGTTTTTAGACGTGGCCAGAGTATATCACATTCGTTTGGTATTTTCTCGTTTAACGGTTTTGTTGGATCAACATTATTTTCTCCATACATGAATTGGTAACCAAAATGTTTTACACGTCTATGTTTTAAATCACTTTGTTCCACATCTTCTAAATTAATTGCTTTCAATAACATATTTTCTTCAGATTCAGTCAAAAAATTTGGCAATAGTACGAGCCCTTCAGGAAGCGGTTTAGCCCAAACATTTTCTTCTTTACACATAGGTAAACTTTTAAAATATGACAAATAAACCACACCGCCACGTTGTTCCAACCCTGCACGTCCATGCATGTTATTATAAATGCGCTCCGCATTGTTCACATTATGGCATTTCAAAAAGCAATAAGATTTGTTTGGCAACATGATTACTTGTTGCACCGGGGCATATTGGATTGCATTAGATAAAACGGATTCTTCTGTTAGGCCTGTAGAAAGACCTGCATTCAAGATAGCAAGAAAGCATGTAGGCATCTCACTACTTTCAATCCCCACGTCATTGTAGATTATGGTCTCACACCGTCGCTGCTTACGCTCTAATTTACGAGAACTGTAATCCTTCGTCATACTTCTTTCTTTTCAAATAGAACTTTACTATTAAGATAAGAGCAAATGCTTATCCCGCAAATAGTGAACCGCTTACCAACGTAACATGTGAAATTTTAATGTTTACATTCTAAATGTCAAATATTGGCGAATGAAAAACAAAATAAACCAATACCAATGCTGCCAGCACTTTCGATTTTCTGTGAAACCTTACCAGTGCTGACAGTCTAGTGAAAACTGTGTTGTAAAACGTTACGATACCGCACACTAGATTTTCGTAAATGGGAGAAAAATGGAAGTTTTAAAAAAAGTAAATGCGCAGTTTTTTCTTTTCAATAGTGTTAGTTGTATTCAAAGAAATAATTTATTTTAATTTAGATTCTCTGTTGGATACCACCTAAGAGCCAATTTATTTATCTTTGTGAAATATGAGTTTAATGCGAACATTAAAGATTCCAATTGGACTAATGAGACCATTATGCTCTAGTGCTTCCCAACCAACGTTTGCCAATCAGCTTGGGTACATTTATCAAATTTGTGTTTTCATTTTCGATGTAGTTTTCATTTCTCTGCATTTGTCTGGTTGTGCTTCGTGTTTCAAGTGCACTACGGAAGATATTGATAAAAATTTGTACAATTGGTGTACTAATTGAGAAAATGTGTATATGAAATTGAAAATTGCAATTGTGCGTCACATAAATCAAAAGTGAAGTGTTAAAGTGAAGCTTGGGAAATGTGTGGGACCTTTTATACTTCGTTTGAGATAGCAGAGATAGTAGTAACAGCAGGAGGCAAAATAAAAGCAGAGATTTATGTTCGCAACAGTGAACGTCGCTGTCTATAATTATTGAAGGCATTGTTTTTGGAGGGGAGGTGGGGTATACGTCGCCGGAACTTGCAGCACTAGCACTTCCTTAAATGCAACAACAGCAGAGGAAGCAGCTAAAATGGGTAAGCAGTACTTAAGTGGAGCAAAGAGCAAATCAACAAAGAAAAAATTTGTGAATGCCAATATGACAAACATTAAAAATGCTTAGCAAGTTGATATGTGCATATATGCATAAAATTCAGATTACAAACGCGTTTGTAATCCGACGCCAGGCTATGACGAACACCAGCGCAACTGACACCGGCGTCGTCTACGTACCGTGTCAAAAAATATATATCCATGCATACACATATTGAAGAATTTTGTATTCTGAAATTTTGCAGTTACCACCTTAAGTGTCAAAATGACTTCAATCGATTTAACCAAATTCACGGACAATAGTTCAGGGTAGACTGGCTACTGGCTACTGGCTGCTGCCTGTGAATTGGAGTGTAATGTCGTGTAGCAACAGCAGATACATCGGTGTCCGTAATGAGTGGATAAAAAACAACATACCAACCTACCGGATAGCAGAGGGTTGAGTCAGCGCATTTCAAGTGCGATAACTAATTATGTTCGCAACGCCGCATATGACGTATGTATGTATGTTATGTATGTGCCGCGTCCATGCGCGGGTAGTGGGACGACCAGAAAGCAAACAAGTCTGCAAGGGCTCTGCTGTCACTTTTGTTCGCTTTGCGATGCTACGGAACATTTCGAAATAAGCGCCGTTGGCTATTTTTAAGTCATTCCCACAGCGTTGAGCGAACAGCGAACAGCAAACTGCAAAGTGTGTGTAGCATTGCTGTCAAACTAGGCCAGAGCAACTTTCGCAGCAAACGGCAACTGCAACAGCAGCAACAAACAGCAACCAAAAATAATTCACCGTAGCCATGACAGTCGGCCTAGCATATGCTAGATTTAGCTGTAGCACGACAATTGTTGCGCGCTCCCACTTCACACCCACATGCGGCATGCAACCGATAATAATAATATAAAAGAAACATAAAATCGAAAGAAATGACTTTTGTCTCCATGGGCAGATGGAACGGATGTACGCGGGCGTTTGGACAACTGCATTTTTTTTACGACAAAAATGTTATTCATTTGCATGTCACTCTTATAAGTTTCAAGTAAAAAGTTGAGGCATAAGAAAAAATGAGTTAGCTATTTTAGTCTAAAATGATCTTATGCCTCAGTTTACAAAGTTTTCATATCGAAATATAATTAATTTTTTAAATTTCTTTTCTACTTTTCCAGAATGCTCCCAAATTGATTTATATGAGTTTCTAACAGAAGCAGAATTGCAACATTATTATAATGCAATCAAGTAAGTTGTATGGATATTAAACAGCGCCCACATTTCTGAATATATTTTATATTTTTGCTTTACAGAAATGAACTGAAAATTACAAATGCTGCCCACGTCAAATATGCGACTGACGAAGACCTCAAGCACATTGGACTGTCTCGCCCAGAAATACGTCGTCTACGCAAATACTACGAAAAGCATTTTCCACATGGCTATCTGAGTAAAATAAAGCGCTTACTACAAGCGCCGGCCACAATCGTGAAGCGTGACGGCGGCGATGGCAGTACAACACTTTCAAATGCATCATTGCATAGCACGGCGGAGTCCCCTTCTACAGCGCGCACCGCCAACTCACCCAGCAAGGCACCAAATAACAAGCATATTATACCAGCCGATTCTATAACGGTGAATAAACAACTGGGCACTGGCGAATTTGGCATAGTACAACAGGGCGTGTGGACCAATGGCACGGAAAGGGTTAGACGCCAAAATAAATAACGCAATACAAATAATAGTAAATGAATTCTTGTTTTATTTTCCAGATACAAGTTGCTATTAAATGCTTGTGCCGCGAGCGTATGCAATCGAACCCTATGGAGTTTCTGAAGGAGGCCGCAATAATGCACTCTATTGAGCATGAAAATATTGTACGTTTATATGGTGTTGTTTTGGCCACAGACTCTTTGATGCTGGTTACTGAGTTGGCGCATTTGCGTTCTTTACTGGAATGCCTAAAAGATCCCGGTTTGCGCGTAAGCTTTCTTACAATTCCAACGCTTTGCGAATTTGCAATGCAAATCTGTAACGGTATGCGTTACTTGGAAAATAAGCGTCTTATACACAGGTGCGCACAGGTCTTTCCAGTTTACATATGTTTGTAAAAAATTATATGTTTTTCCTACTTACCCTACACATTGCAGAGACCTTGCTGCGCGGAACATATTGGTTTTCAGCAAAGATAAAGTTAAAATTTCCGATTTCGGACTGTCACGAGCTTTGGGTGTTGGCAAAGACTATTACAAGACAAATTTTAATGTCAACCTAAAACTTCCTATTGCCTGGTAATAGCATACATTTTATTATTGATTTGGATTTGTAACATTTGCATCTAATGCCTTACAGGTGTGCACCCGAATGCATCAATTATTTGCGCTTCACCAACGCCTCGGATGTTTGGGCTTATGGAGTTTGCCTCTGGGAAATGTTTTCCTATGGATTTCAACCTTGGGCGGCACTTACCGGCTTGCAGATACTTGAAGCCATAGATGCACCAAACTATCAGGTGAATATTCTTGTGAAAAAAACGAGAGAAATTCTAATTAAAAGTTTTCTCTTCATAAACAGCGCCTCGAACAACCTGACTGCTGTCCACAGGAATATTATACGCTCATGGTAAAATGTTGGCAAGATGACCCTGTAAAACGTCCAAAGTTCACGGAAATCTACGAGCTACTGCCCGACATGAAGCCCGAGCAGTTGAAAGCGGTTGTGCATTGTTTGGAGCCCAAGAAGGATCATTTATTGTATCGACAAGGCGACATCATAACAGTACTTGACCGCAACACGGGCGCGCCGTTTTGGAAGGGCGTACTTACATCGGGGAAGACGGGATTCTTCAACCCCTCAAATACCGTTGCTTACTTGGAAGGTTTACCCACTGCTAACCGGTGAATTGAAATTAAATTTGAATATTTTTAAAATAATTTTTCTAAAAATTTTCTCAAACTGCTTTTAGGGACTCATTTTGTCGCACCAGTGAACGCATTAGCAAACGCAAATTACGCACAGAAATGATATCAAAGCCGCAGAATGATTTTAAACACACCGGACATGTAGGCATCGATGGCGACTCATTCGGCGATATAGCTTTTCTTGGCAATTCGCAAAATGTAAAGTTTCTTCTTTCATTCCTCTTAGTTGTTATTAATTTCTAATCGATTTTTAGTACAATCATGTGCCACGGCAAATTGTTACACCTTATAAGCCATCTGAAGATATCGAGCAAACACCACTTTTACTGCCACCGACACCAACCAGTCCCGATTCCTTACAAACTGCCAGTGGTTATTTCCCCGAAGAGGGTCATGGCACCTCAATGAACCCGACATTCATATCCTCAACGGAAAACACACCCAAGCATTTCAATACTGGCAATGGCGGCCAGTCGTCGTTCGAATTTCCCGGTCAACAGTCACTCAGCAAGTCCTTCAATCCATTTACCCATAAGGCTGACGATGAAGTTATGCGTAGTGGTGGCACACTCGCCATGCAAAACAATAATTACGGTCTAGATAGTCAAGGCTTCCACGGAGACGTAGCTGCGGGTAGTTCGCAGCAATGGCGTGACGCTGGCAAGAATGGCGGCAGTAGTGAGGATCCACACGAATACCATGAAATTTCCGATGACGAAATGACTGCTGACAAATTAGACTTTGGACCGTCACTTCTGGATGAAATTAACTCGATGTTTGGCTCCATGAGCGCCAGCACAAGCGCGGCTGCATCGAAATCGTCCGATTTTGAGCACACAAACAAAAAGAACGAATTTGCCGAAATCACTTCGAAATTGGTGGGCAAAAGTGGTGATAGTAACAGCAGCAAGTTCGGCACATCCTCGAAGAAGAAGTCATCGGGCACTGTCAAACCCATTTCGGTGAAAGATGAGCGCATTTTGAATCAAGCGATCGAAATCGCCAATGAAATCAGCGCGAGGTGAGTTTACTATTTTCGAAGAGCCTGTTGCTAACCCTAACTCTTTGAATTGCTTCTATTTGTAGGTCCATGAATGATTTAGTATGCGACCAATCGTCCAATACACAAAGTCCAAAACGTAAATTTAGCTTCCGATTTCCGCATTTAACGAGTAGCGGCAGTAATGCCAGTGACAAGGCGTCTGGCGGTAATTCCTCGCCGACGGCGGGCAGCGCGAATGCGAATGCAGCAGGACAAAAGTCGTTATCGCCGTATTCGAAGAAGAAAAATTTCACTGAACAACTGGAGAGCATACCCGATTTACAGGTGAGTTCTGCTGTTATTTTCCATCCAAGTCCTATTGCCTCGCTCTATACTGAACTCCCAACTCTGTTTCGCCGAGTTACTGACAACAAAATTTGTATATTTCTCCCTCCCCCCAAACGTGTCTCATTAATTTTGAAAAAAAAAAAATATTATTATTATTTTTTGTTTGGATTTGAATTTGGTTTGTTGTTGTTTTGTTTCATTTATGTCTATATGGTTTTTAATAAAAATGAAATCACGTGGTTTGCTAAAATAGCGATTTCGCTCCTTAAGCGAAATCAAGAATGTTAACGGTCCCGATTTGCGTATACCAATTTTCGATAAAGAAAGTTCCGATTTTTGTTTTGAAAAATCGCGCGAAATATTAAGTCGTCCATTAAGTTTAGATCCACCGCCGTCCCTAACTCAAAGCACCACATCGCCCACCTCCGTACTCGAATCGCAATCTCATCGTTCTGTGCGAAATCAAAAAAGTATCAGCGAGAACATTATGGATATCGAGAATACGTTGAAGGCGCTTAATTTGGATTTCATGCACACCTACACGGAATTGGACAAAACCGATTCGGATGAGACCTTGCTGAACGAACAGTTCTCCAATATCGTATCGTCGATCGAGGATGAAATCAGTAGCGCCACCGGCAGTCTCAAATCCGCTATCTACAACTACAGCAATGGCGTACAGACAATGTTCGACTTCAATGCCGCGACCAGTCATTTGGACAAGCACTTGCAATATATCAATACACAGAGCCACGCGCAGGCGCAGTCGACGCTGGGTGATCTAATGCAGGACCAAAAAATGGCCGAAGACAAACGTTCCAGCACACCTGACACGGGGTTTGCCTCGCGAGACACGAACATCTCGCTTTCGCGACGAAGTAGCCAAAAATCAAATTATAGTCCACAGGAAAACTACTACAGTCCGAAAGAAACAGCGCCGTTGGGTCCTAGCGGCAGTAGCAGCAGCTATATGACACATAGGGATGATAGCCTGCAGCTCGCCACAGAACGCTTCAGCGCTACGAAATACGGCAACTGCGTTTCACCAAATAAAACTTCTGCTCTGAATGCGAGCAATACTTCGGTGTACTCCAGCAATCAGCTCAAGAGCAGTGCTTGTGCTTTGGCCATTGTCGATGCCGAACAATATAAAGAGAGTGGTCAGCGTCAGCGCTCCATGTCTTTCACCGACAATCCAATGAACCCTATCTCGCCGGTACTGTCCGAACCACAGCAGCGCTTGAAACGCCGCTCTACGCATTCGGCTATGGAGAATCGCACTTCACACAAACCGCATGTGCGCAGCGCTTCATCTTACAAACCACGTTCCATACGCGCACGCACATTGCGCCGTCTCAGCTACAATCCCATCATATTGGACTCGAGCTCATCCAGCGATGATGACCCGATAAGCGACTGCAATCCCAGTATTGCACGTTCGGAGTGCGACATACGCGCGCGCGTCACTTCACTCTACCGACGCCGCCGACCAGCAAGCGGTGGCAGTGTGGCTGGCAATGGTGTTTCACACAAATTGCTGACTCCCGGCTGGCAGGACGATGACGCGTCGGAGTTCACCACGGTATCGCAGAAAAAGTTATACGGTTCCAATGTGAGCATAAAGTCGGCACCGCACTACAATTACGGTGCGCGCGGCATGTCGCATCATTACAGTCGTCAGCTGGAGGAACAATTCGCCTATGAAGACCGTATTTATGACTTTGGCGGCGGGCGCGGACCGGGTAATAATTATAGCGGCAGTGTAGCGCCCACTATGGGCGGTCTAATAAGAGGCATGGACATGAATGGTAGCAGTGGTCGCGTTGGCAATACCGTAGTTGGTATGGGTTTGGGTGGTGGCGGTGGCGGTGGCTCCGGTTCGGGTTCATCGTCGGCTACATCATCGGCGCCACCATACAATAGCGGCGCGCCTATCACCAGCCTGGGAAGCGCTGGCGAACGTAGTTTTAGCGCACTCAGCGGCATCAGTGCGCGTAATGCAGTCTTCCATGAATTCGATGTCAGTCGTTTGACCGGCAAAAGTCCCACTTCCAACTTCGCCAACTCGTCACCGGAGGAGCGCAACCGCGCACATCCCTCGCCACCCAAATCTTTGCAACTGCCGCCGTTACCGCTATTGAATGCGGCATCGCCAGCTGCAGGACCTGGCACCGCCACGTCACTGCAGAAAAGTTTAGGTAGCGCCAAGCAGCAAATGGAATTTCACTGGCCGGAGAAGATACATGCGTCAACGGTGAAGCAGAATGAGCTGCTCTGGCGACAACAGCAGCAGCAGCAACAACAACGGCAACAAAGCAAACCGTCTGCCAAACATCAATCGCACAACGTGTTCCTGGGCAGCATGCGCGTTAGCAGCGCGACTGCCGGCGTTGCACTGGGCGGCGGTGGCGGCATCCCAAACGAAGCGTCCTACACGAGCGACAGTTCTTCCAGCGATAGCGAGGAGTTCGCTTTTCGCACCGAGTTCATACCTCACGTACCACCAAGCCCAGCTCCATAACTAAGAAAAATGCTGAGATATTTTTTTAATTTACTTTTTGGCAATGTGTTGGACGAGCAGCATTAAGGCTAAGAAGTGTTGAGAATTGAAAGTACAGTAATGTGAAGAATTGAATTAGTTATAAGCAATATACTACATATTCCAAGCAGTATTTTATTGTTGTACAAAAACAAAAGTATATGTTCTAAAGCAACGAAACGCTACCATAGGCATGCTACTTGTTGCAACAGCAAAAATTTTGAACGCCCTCAAGTATATATAACAATGTTACACTGCAGCGTCTGCTGTTAACATTGCCACCTGTGAAGGGCTTAAATCGTAGCTTTCAAAATAACAAGCACTCGTTGGACATAAATGTTGTTAGCAGGGCCCCGCGATTATATAAATCTTATATGATGTTGAAGAGAGAATATATACATACACGTATGGATATTTTCATTTGTGCAGAAGACCAAGGCTTGTAACGGCACTGCAAAGCTTGCTGTTTGATTTTGGGAATTGTTGCCGAAATGTTTATTGATAAAATATCAACAGCGGCGCAGATAATTCTTAACATAGGGAGTGCCTTATCGAAAGTAATTATTTTCTGCTTCAAACGCACCCACACACACATACACTCACACATTTTTCGAGCAGTATTTTTTTAATTGACATCTAGTACGTTTATCCACAACTTCCGCAGCTCAAATTCTGATCGAATAATACAAACATACTATACGTGCAACGTGCAACAATAAGTCATGAAATTGCGAATTTATGTCATCGTCAACCATTAATAATATAACATACATATGTATATACATACATCAATGTGAAATGTTCCCTAATGCAAAAACAACTACAATGCAGACTTTTTACGCGCAACAATCAATAGCTTAATGGAATTTTTACAAATCATATTTTTTACAATTTATAAATTTGTTTACCAAAAAACAAAAAGCGACCGCGAAGCTTCGTGAAAACAGTAATCTTTAAACTGCGAATAAGATAAACATGTTATTTCAAGCATAAACACGTTGAGATTTGAGTGAAAATAACTGCTAAGCAATAACAAAGAATTAGAATATAAAAGAATAATAAAATAGAATAAAGAGTTAATAGTTGTTGAGCACAATCTCCATATTGATGGTTAAACTTTCCGATGAAAATGTTCAATCAACAAATATATTGACAATTTGTTTTTTCAAAGCGTAGCGACAACGCTGCACTCTCTTATGACTTCTTCGTTTTGTCAGTGTAGTGAGATTGAAGTCAAAAGGCAAAATATTCATCATATACATAACTTACTTGTAATAAAATATTAGTTAGTCGAAAAAGTTTTTTCGTAAAAGCAAATAAGTTGAAGTTTGATTAGAAATACGAAAAGACTTTTTCAACAACCAATAGTTCTTCTTTTTACATATATCTTGCTAAAATGGTCAATATAACAGATTACCAGAGCTAACAGCAAAGTTTCTAATAACCTTAAAGTGCTAAGTAGTTGTGTGTTCGAATAACTCTACTGACTTAAGCTAACTGACAGCCAAAAAAGTATTCTGAAAAGATTTCTCTCCATCTAATTCGAATAAATTAATAAAAAAAATTAAGAAATTTACATGGCTTTTATATATGTACATAGGTCTCTTACAGAAACATTTCGCTAGTAAATGCGTGACTCGCTTAAGGTTCGACTGCCTTACATTCGAAGTTTTCAGATACATTTTTTATTCGGAAACACATAAGTTGTCTTTTCTGGTATTTTATTTTGACTACCACTGTAATTCTTTGCGTCTATTATTAGCGAAACTTTGAAAATTAAAGAACAAATTAATTAAAAATGAATGCTGAGCTTTGAAATTTAAATGTATGGCTTATTGGAGGATTATACAGGTATCATCAATTTGCTTCATAACAATGACCGAAAAGCCAGTTGATCAGAAATCAAAATAAAGTAAATAATTAGTATTTAACAAAAAAGTGTTTGAGGTTGAGAAAAACTCATGATTTCCAATGTTTTACAAAAATAAATAACCAAATACAAAAATACAACTACATATAAATATACATATATAGAAGATAATACAAAGATCTCTCTGTTTTTATTGCTAGTAACATAATTGTGAAACGCCTTAAACACGCAATCTGATCCTCATTTCAGTAAACAAAAATAATTTGTAGCATTCCATTTTTAATTTCTGACTTTACAGGCACTCAAAACCACGTATTCGAGCTCGAAAACATTAAGTATGACCTTCCGAAAAATCATTGATTTTCGCGATTTTTTAATGTTGAAATTTCCTAATCAGTCCGATGGCTATAGAAGCTTTTTTGTTTTTTTCTACTATCCGATTTCTCAAAAATTTAAAACAATTTTATTGAATTTTATGATATTCCGGATGCTTCTCCAGTCTTGCCAAGTGGACAAGAGATGTTGCATTGTGTTGTGTTAGCCCCATTTGGCGGGCTTGTGTCACCACCAGACATGTTCCTACAGTCTCTTCTATCGAATGCAAATAGGAATTTAAAAAAGAAATGTTCTACTCTGAAAATAAGGAGTGCCCGTAAAGGATATATAAAATACTTTTTAGCATAGCCAACCGTTTTTAATCGCTTTTATCGCCTCCCCAAGCAACGACCTGGCAGCATTTTAGATGTTTTAACGCATTTTTACAATAACAAAAACACATTTTAGCATGCTTAATATTCCAAATTTACTGGTTTTTAAATGTAGAAAAAATTAAATTTTTCTAAAATTAGTTTCTCTGCTAAAGTAGACACTTAATATACTTATGCTTGAAACACTAGACACTATACCAGTCCACAAAACAGTTAAACCGTTACATATAAGAATTGATCTCTTGACAGCTTAGCGTTTTTTTAACATAGCAATGAAATGTTAAACGCTCGCAATAATCGCCATATTGATAAGGCGAGATTATTTGCAGCAGCGCATTAATTACATACATACATATGTATATTGTATAGGTGGCAGTATGTGCTTGCATACATATCTCTCCACATTTACTCGTATTATATATATTATATCCTTAGGTATACAACATTTAGCGATATCATCAGCGGAAATTTAAATTGATATTCTAATTACATACATACATACATACATTTATATTATATGCTATATTATACTCTATTTTATTATACCATTTATATTCACGAACATATATAGACATTAGTGCGATGATTACTTCAAATATTGGGTACTTGTAAAATCAACCCTGTATGTACATATACATAAATTTATCATATTTGTATGTAATCGTAAATGTATGGTCAATGCCATTTATATTCTAATTTGCCCTCGACATTCCTACATGCTTACTTATCAGCATACTTATTTGAAAAATCCCGTTTTGCGGTTGATTCAAAATTCTAGTTAATAATTATGAAGCAACACACTCCATTTACATATAAATATATTTAATCTTATAAGTATACTTATGTATGTGTACATATGTACATGTACTCGAATCTTGGTTTCTTGGCGACAAAAATTAAAGCAAAAAAATGCAAAAAATCACAATTAGCGTGATAAGACAAAAAAGTCTTTTTCTACTCCTAGTTGCTCGTATTACGACTTAATTCTGATCAACTATGAGCGAGGTTTAAATTCTAAATAAGGAACGCAAAGCAGCAAACTTTTATTTGGAAGCAATGAAAGTAAAAAAGGAAGAAACAAAAAGATGTATTTACTGTGTTTTATTATATTTGCATGTATTGCATTGCCGGTTGCATTTATGATGTTTCAAAACAAAATATTTATGAAAAAACAGAACTTAAAAATAAGACAAAGCAAAAAA